TTTTAAACGTGTGTGTGTGTGTGTGTGTGTGTGTGTGTGTGTGTGTGTGAGAGAGAGAGAGAGAGAGAGAGAGAGATGAGAGAGAGAGGAAAAATATGAGTGATCCATGTTATCAGTTATAATATTTACCTCAATGAACTTAGTCTGTGCCTCTATTTAGCTACTTTATCAACTATGAATGTGAAAACTTCTTTGCATCGCTTCAAAATGATGAAGATTGAGTAGTTTCTAAAGTTTCAAAGACTGATGTACTTTTGAGCCTTTTGACAAGGGTTCATATTTTTTCCTAAATTCCACTTTTGTAAACTTTAAAAATCCTCTTGCTGGTCTTTCAAACACATTTTCAATTACATCAGTGCTAAAGTCAGTAACTCAGTTGTCTGACATCTGCATAAATACAGAACATACATATTGCTGTGGTACTTTATTTCCAAGTAGGTACACAGTATGTGGAGTGAGGGGCAGAGTCAGCAACGCTATGGTTTGGATGTGAAGTTTTATCAAGGGTTGAATTGGAGTTTCTCCTGAAATCAGAGGGAGATTCTTTATATTAGTGATCAGAAATGGAAATCCAAGAACAAGTTACAAGACCTGAATGGGACCAGGTAAACACATTTAAGCAGTCATCTGAACACCTTTCCCAGCAGGACAGAATACAGCTTTCCACTATGCTACTGAATAATTTCAAGTGGTAATAAAAGGGTGTCAGGGAGCAGTTTTGAAAGAACTCTTGGGTAGACTAAGAGACAACAATGAATACTGGAAGAAAGTATTGTACTGAAAAGAGGAGCTCAGTTTTTGCCTCAGAAACACTTAAGTATCTCTAGGATAAAGTGATGTGGACTACAGATTACTAAATTTCCATAATGAGGGCAATTAATCAGATGATAATAGGCATTAGTTTGACATGGATCAGTTCCCACAAATGCAATGCAATGAGCAACACCATAAATCAGGATGGAAAATGCATGCATGTGCTTCCAGAGAGGTAGTTAAAAATCATATTTACTTATAATGCCATATAATTATGTTAAAATATCCTGTTATTTATACTAATAGATATACAAATTTATTTTATTAAAATGTATCATCAATAAATACATCATTAACATCTACAAGTTAAAGATTTATTGTTTTATAATTCACCACAGTGTTTCACACTTACGTATATTCTAATAGATTGCCTTTTATCACGCTCATATTCCACCTTCCTTCAAAAGTATTCAACATGTGATTGTATGTGGATTGAAACACACTCACTGTAAGATCTTAATACAAAAGAACAATGTAATTTATGACTTATAGTACAAAACCTTAAAGAATGAAAGGGAAAGTATTTGGAATTATTATAGTATAACATTATAATAATACTCGTGGGTGGATTTGGACTAATGGTTTTTCATCCATTGCTTCTTTTTTTTTTTTTTCTTCTTTCCTTCCTTGCTTTTCTCCCAGCCCAATTCCTGAAAGATTTTGTTCCATATGTGTTCAGAACACTTGTTCAGTATGTTGTACGTGTGAATTTGTTAAACATGCATTCAATAATAGAATAAAAGAAAACTGATAAGGAATCAATAGATTTTATTTTTCATGAAACTGGATTTAAATGTCTAGTAATATTATATACATTTCTCAAATATTTTGTCAAAATATGCTAAATTATTTTTCTGTTTTTCTTCTTGGCTTATAATGATCACTTATTAATATGTATATCTTTTCTTGCGGGATTCACTAAGAGAAACAGGGAGTGGGTCTTTCAGTTGTGTAGGCAATTAATCTGGCAAGACGGCTATGGACACTGTATCTCATTGTGGAGAAGGAGTATTTGGGTGGATTTCACCGGACTGCCTGATTATTTCTTTCTCTGCTTTGCTTGTTTGAGCTTCAGCAGAATCCGCATGTCTGTAAGGCTAGGAAGGACTGCAGAAAGGCCAAGACAAAGGCATTCTCTCCGGGCAGAAAGGTAGTTTGCTGTTCCTTGAGCACTGCATTTAACAGTGCCTGAAGTCCAGGGTAATGCAGCACTGGTGTGGGCTCACCGCTGCTACTGTGTAATAACTGCATCTTCTTGGAAATCAGGCATTGTGATGCCTACAGTCCCGCCTCCCTCCCTGCTCCAGGAGCCCTTTAGACACATTCTGAGTTTGTGATTTCATATGAATTTTAGCATTGTTTTTCTCTATATAAATAATGTTATTGATATTTTGGTAGAGACTGTATTGAGTCAGTGTAGACATTTTAAAAATTTTATTTATTTATTTATTTATTTATTTTGCAAAGTCAGATACACAGAGAGGAGGAGAGACAAAGAGGAAACTCTTCCATCCAATGATTCACTACATAAGTGACCACAATAGTCAGTGATGTGCCAATCTGAAGCCAGGAGCCAGGAAACTCCTATAGGTCTCCCACATGGGTGCTGGGTCCCAAGGTTTTGGGCCGTGCTGGACTGCTTTCCCAGGTCACAAGCAGGGAGCTGAATGGGAAGCAGGGAAGCTAGGATTCGAACCGGCATCCATAGCATCTGGCACATTCAAGGCAAGGACTTTAGCTATTAGGCCACTGTGCCAGGCCCAATATAGACATTTTAATGTTAATTCTTGCAATATAAGAGCAAGAGGTATCATTGACTTTTTATATACTTGATCATTTATTTAATCAAAACTTTATAATTTTATTATAGAGATGCTTCACTTTTTTGATTAAATTTACTTCCACAAATTTGATTTACCAAATATTTAATATGCCATTTACATTAAATTATGTAGGTCATACATATATTGTTACACATGTCAAGTATTGATATATTTTATTATACAAAAAGTAGTAATGTGAATGCAGTCTTCGTTTTTCTTTTGCTGAATTCATTATTACTATAAAAATGTTTCTCATGTTTATTCATTAATTTATTTGTTTTTAATGATCTATTTTTTTTTATTGGAAAGTTGAATATACAGAGAGGAAGATCTTCACTCACCAAGTGACCACAACGGCCAGAGCTGAACGAATCTGAAGCCAGGAGCCAGGAACTTCTTCAGGGTCTCCCACACAAGTGTACGATCCCAAGGTTTTGGGCCGTCCTCAATTGCTGTCCTAGGCCACAAGCAGGGAGCTGGATGGGAAGTGAAGCTGCTGGGGTTAGAACTGCCTTCCATATGGAATCCCAACAGATACATGGTGAGGACTTCAGCTTCTAGGCTACCATGCTGGACCCTCATATGTTTATTTTTTAACCTGTTACTTCACTGAACTTATCTATCTGTTGTAGTAATAAATTTACATATACATGTATATATGTATGTATATGCTATATATGTATGTCTAAATTAATGTGCTTTGTCATTAATAATAAAAACACTAGCTAATTGTTTAAAAGTTCATAAATGTATTTTCTACTGTAAGCTCAAATATCTTAATTTTATGAACTACTTTTGCTGAATGAACTACATAAAATATTACAAAGTAACACATGCAAGTCTCAACTATTTTAAATAATTAAAAATGGATACTTATAAATAATTGGAAAATGTGACTAATCCTACCTCTTTACTATTTATATATTCATATCCTGATTTTCCACTTAATAAATGTATGTTGTATGTTTATTTGGTGTTGGATACTGATTTTGTGACTTGAGATTCGTTTTTAATTGCAATAGATTTTTTCTTAATCATCAATGTCAGTGTGTTAGAGCATTATGAATCTGAAAGATTCAGAAGCATAATACTCTGTGATAGTTGCTTAGGGTATGAGCATTTCAATCCTGCTTCCAACCTTCATCTTAATAAAATAGACAACCGCGAATCATATATCACTGTTTAAATTATCTTTGGAGGCCATTCAGTTATTATAAAGATCTTGTTATATATATTCACTTCAAAATACTATATATGCTTAATGTTACACTTACATAATTCAGAATGTGAATTAAAATATATTGTGAAAAACAAATCCCAAGCACTACAAATTCTTTAAGACACCATCATCTTTTCTTTTATCGGGATCGAAGTCTACTCATTGTAGCAATGTTTGCACATCAGTTTTTACTGCTGACTCCTTCAGTGGCTTAAATGAACACCTTAAAATGAGCAGTAGTAATGGGCAGTATAAATGTTTCTTACTTTAAACGTTCTTATACTTTAAGGAATATATTACAAAGATAATTTATTTTAAATTCATTTTTATATACTCTCCATTTACTATTTTTACTAAGGTGTATTTACTTTTATTTGAAAGGTAGATTTACAGTGGGAAGGAGAGACATTGAGGAAAAGATCTGCACTCTGCTAGTTCACTCACTCTCTAAATTGTTGCAATGGCTGGAGCTGAGCCAATCTGAAGCTGGAGCCAGGATCTTCCTCTGGGTATCTCACATGCGTGTAGGGTTCCATGGACTTGCACCATTTCCTGCAGCTCTCCCAGGCCTCAAGCAGGGAGCTGCTGAGAAGTAGAGCAGCAAAGTACTTGAAGGTGCCCAATGTGCTGCCAGTGCTTGAAGGTGGAGGATTAACCAACTGACTCATGGTGCCAGTCCCTCCTTTTAATAAACTTTACTAAATTTTGAATAAATACACAGGCATGGCTTTAGATTGGTCAACTCTGCCCAAGGTTACATTTGTGAGAGATTTTACTCAAATATATTGAAAATTAATTTATGATTGTTCTGATTTTATTTTGTAAATTGTTGCTTTGTTCATATTCCACTAGCTATTCTCCACTGTGTTCAGAAAGTCTAACGTTGATTTCATGATGTAAGAATCCCTAATGCTACTTGCCTCCGTTTTGTTACCTGCGTACATACTTTTAGAATGCATTCCTTTCTCTAGACCATAACTGATTACAGCATCCACCATGGAAGAAACTCATGCATTCTGTATTTTCCCTTATGGGTAACTCAGTTTAAGAAAGAAAATTATTCTATCACAAAACACACGTTCTTACCATATTTGCCTTCGAGTTTGGGTTAAAATTCTGTTTCTGTCTTGTGTCTTCTTCTTTACCTTTGTCCAATCTCCATCGCACACAGGCATCGTGCGTCTTTCTTCAACCTTATTGAAAAATATATATAGTCTTCCGTCTGAGATTATACGTTTCCCAAGGCAAAAGATGGAGGTGTATTTTCATTACTAGCCTTTGCACTTATCAGTTGACCTTTCAAAGACTGAAAATCCTCTCAGTATGTTTTATTACCTCCTTGTGTATTTTTCTTGCTCAGAATGGCTTTGTCTGTGGTGGAAATCAGTTAAGAAATAAAGCTTTTCTATTGCACCTAAGATTTTACTTACATATTTCATAATTATTTGTTCAGTATGGTGAGAAGAATGACTTTAAGAGGTTAACGTCATTTTAGAGTAAATGGGACTGTCTGGTTTATTTTGTGCATTTGTCATTTAAAAAACAGGCACACTTGGTAAGAGTTCTAAAGAGATCAAGAAAAGTAGCTATTTTAAAAAATAAATCAATGGAGGTTGTGGTGCAATGTCTCTCAATGGTTAAATCCTCAGTTTGCAAGTTCTGGGATCCCATGTGGGTGCTGGTTCCTAACCCAGCTGCTCCATTTTTAATCCAGCTCCTTCTTTTTGGCATGGAAGAGCTGGCTCCTGAGTTCAGCCTTTGGGGCCATTTGGGGAGTGAATCAGTGGATGGAGGTCTTTCTTTCTCTTCCTCTCTCTATAACTCTGATCTGCCTTTCCAATGAAAATAAACAAGCTTTTAAAAAATATGAATTGGTAGAAAAAACTATAGATGCAAATGACAATAGGGAAAGTAAGAAAATGTAAGACTGAGGAGGAAAACTTACAACATGAGGAGGGATTTTAGTCGCAACAGCAACATGAACATTCAGTATAATAGGTTTGGTACTGTAAACCCCAAACGCTAAAGTCTCATAGTTAATTCAACAAGTTAAAAATATAAGAATTTTTCACATTACTTAATAAACATTTTGACTTTAAAATTTGTATCTGCGGTGCGAGTTAGCTCTCAGCCATGGGTTTAACCACCTCCTCACCCGCGCTGACATCGCAAGCTTGGACTGACCGCGGAACCAAAGTCTGCTTGTCGTAACGCCTGCCAATCATCGGAGTTGTTCCTTTACCATGAAATAATTTAAAAAAAATTTAGTATCCTTTAAAATGTACCTCATTCCATAATGTATATAAGAAAGATGAGAAATATTATGGAGAAAAAAGTAAATGATATTTACTTAATGGGCCATTCTGTTTTATAGCACTATCTCTCAATAAGGTGTGTAGATTTGTCAAATCAATAATTATTCAAAAATATGTTAACATTTAACTTACACACAAAGAAATTAAAATGCATTTGAATTTAACCAATCAGATGTTAAATGTCATTTACCTTTTCTCCCAACATGATTTTTAAGGGTAAATAGAATCTGAAATATGTTTATATTATTTCTGTAATATAAAACTGTCAAAAGTAATGATGAGATGACTTACAAGTCATAACACAGCTTCAGACAACATACTAAGCATTTAGTTGATGTTGAGAAATTGAACACTCAATCAATTTGTAGGAACCAGTGTGCAGTGAAGCAGCTACAAGAAAAGAAATAAAAGGAATATGTTCAAGAAAAAGCAACATCCTTGGGCTGTGGCCTCATTTGTTCTTGGGTCTTTGCTTTGTTTCCTTTTATGCTGTTGAGTGTAGGAACTGGCCCTTGCCTTGGGAGAGCCCAAATTTAGTTTACTGAAGCTAGGCAGCTGACGTTTAGATGTTAGACTGCATTACTGTGTTTTGCCCTAGTTGAGAAAGTCCTATTACATAATCTTTGCACATGAAATGCAATCAGCGTGTCTGCAGCAAAAATGTAGAAATTCCATATACAAATAGAATAACAGATCTCTAAGCATGTAGCATCTAATTAAACAATAATTATAGCAAAATAGAAAAAGGAGGTAGTTAGAGGTGAAGCATTTTAAGGGTCCAGCTTTGTCCAAAAAGTAATAAAAAAGATAATTGATATTAAAATAGGATAAGGGTGCAGTTGATCATCTCTAATTTAACTAACAAAATGATTATTTACTTCCTGCCTCCATTTTTAAATTGAGGGTTATAGCAAACTCAGAGGTCCAGTGACTGGCCCACAAACTCACATGAAACAAACCTCCTTGCCTCTTCTAACTACTTGTTGAGAAACCTGACTATTGTATGTAACCCACAGTTGGATGCAATTATTCTCACCACTGTCCATTGATTTTCTTCATTGAATGGTGCGCTTCAAAGTCAAGCTTAAATGATTTGTAATTTGAGATTGTGGCTTAGTTTACTCTGATATTGAATTTTTTCTCACTTTTATCTCCCAATATTCTTTCTCTCTTTTTTCTTCATAATCAGTGTGATATACATGCAAGCTAGCTTACAATATTCAACATTATCAATCTCCCTGTGTGTGTGCATATGTGCTCTTTATATGATGCCGTAATATATTTCTTATAGTTGCATATATGTGTGTTAAGAATTAGGAAAAAATGCATCTTGCATACAAATTTTCTGTTAAAACTTACTCTTGGTGTTAAAATTGGTTGAGCAGACAGAAAAGTTTCTTCTTTGTATTTCTGAGTATTATGCTTTCCATTTGTTTCTCTGAAAAGGTAAATATTCCTCTACTTTTATGTTATTTCAAAGGCAGAGAGACAGACACTCACACAGAAAGAGGGATGTACAGATAGACAATTAGGGAGATGGAAAGAGATTTTCCATCTGCAGATTTACTCTCCAATTGCTAGATATTCAGGGCCGAGCCAGGCCAAAGGCAGGAGTGTATAAATCATCTGAGTCTTCTAAGTTAAAGGCGAGGATCCAACTGTTGGAATACCATGTCCTATCTCCCCGGTTTTGCATGAGCAAGGAGATGGATGGGAAGCAGAATAGAAGAGACTTAGACTCTGCTATGGGAAGCATGCATCTTAAAAGGCAACTCAGCAGCTATAGCAGATTTTCAAAATATACATTCATTCATTCACTCATTTATGCATCTGAACAATAGAGGGATAGCTCCAATCCAGTTATTCATTCTTCAAATGGTTAAGAGAAGCAGGGCTGGATCAGACTGAAGCCGGTAACCAGCAACTCCATTCAGGTCTCCCATATGGGTGGCAGGAACTCAAATCTAAAGTACCGGAGCCATCCGTTGCTCCGACACTTTCCAGTATGTTAATGGAAACTGAATCTAAAACACTGTAAATACAATTGAAAGTGCCTGTAATATGGAAAGTGCTCACATTTGAAGGGATCTATTAACTGTCATCTGGATACATGGAGAGAAATTTCATCTACATTTTTATTATTCTCTTTCAAATCATGATTTTCAAATAAGACTTCTCAGGACCCTAGCAGGTAGGAGGCCTGAAATCCATAATGGAGTGCCCAGTTCCTGATTTCACCTTCCTGCTAAGGCAGACATTGGATGTCAATGCTAAAGGGTAAGGTAACAGATGAACCAGGAGAGCATTTCTGGTTCCAGGCTTTGGGCCCAGTCCTGCTCTGCACTTGAGCAGTGAACCAGAGGATGGGATCTCTCTCATCAAATAAATAAAAGAGCCCGTGGTGTAGCGAAATATGTAAGAGCTGCTTTCAATTTGACAAATTCCTAAATGACTTTTCAGTCAAATAATTGCTATTTGAAATCTCAATGGCTTTAATGTGATAAATACAAGGGCACAAAGAACTACACAGAGGAAACTCAGACTGACGCTTCGAATGCATGCGAGGTGGGTGTTATTCTGCAGTATTTCATTATTCACTTTTTCATTATTCATTATTCATTATTTCACTTTTTCATGGCTAAAACTTGCCACACTATCTTGATTTAGACTGTTTTTCTTACTGCTCATGTAACACTTTACTTTTTTACCCATATCCATTTGAAATCCATGTGTGTGCATCAAGCACTATTATAGGTAATGTAAAGAAAACAAAATCTGTATTATTGTGAAGTTTATAACCTTGTATGAGAAAGTGAGTAATAAGTAACCAAAGTATAATACAGCAAAGATAATAAATGTTATTGACAAACAGTTAACATTAAAAAAAAAAAACATGCAGACAGCAGAATCCTATTCAGCATCTGTGAACACTAAGCAGAGATTTCAAATTGAAAGTTTGAGTCATGAGGACATTTAGGGAGGACTTTTAAAGAGAAGAGTAACAGAAATGAAAAGTATTAGTGTATTCTGTAACATCACGGAGACTGTGTGATTCGCAATGGAAAAAATCATGATGTGAAAATGGGTGATAATAGTTCTATTGAGTCAGAGCATTAAGACCTTGTATTTTGTTTAGAAAGGATAAAAAAATTGGAGAACTTTGCAGAGATGTTTTATGATACACCGATAATTATAGTCACTGCTACCTGGAGAATATCTTTTATAAAAATGTTATAGGAAATTCTTTGTTTATAGGGTTGTGCCATGATACAACAAGTAAAACCACCACCAGAAACAGCAGCATCCCATATTGGTATCAGTTTGAGTCCTAGGTGCTCTGCTTTTAATTCATCTATCTGCTGATGACATGGGGAAGCTAGCTTAAGATGGCCCAAAAGTCCTTGGGACTGCTATCCATGTGGCAGACATGGATGAAGCACCTGGCTCCTAACTTGGTGAGTCTAGCACCTGCAGTTGCAGGAATCTAGAGAACCAATCAGGAGGTTTCATTCTTTCTCTTTCCCTCTCTCATTGTAACTCTGGCTTCCAAAACAAAGAAGTCCTTAAAAAATTCTGTTTCACGTGTATTCTATGGGACAGAATATTATGAAAAAAAAAAAAGATTGTTGAAATTGCATTGGAAAAAATATGGTTTGGAGTGCTGTGATGGTAGGAAGATATTAAGTTCCAGATACATTTTGAATACAAATTCATCACTTTTTTTCATGGATTGCAATAAGTGATAAAGTGTATAGAAAGACTATATAATCTTTTATCTCAACAATTAAAATAATAGGCTGTTACTAACGAAAATGAAATTGCCAGGGAGAAACCCATTTTAAGACTATAAGTTAAAGTGA